GGCTGGATTCCCACCAGGAGTGGTGAACATCATCCCTGGCTATGGGCCCACTGCAGGGGCTGCCATCTCCTCCCACATGGATGTAGATAAAGTGGCCTTCACCGGCTCCACAGAGGTAAGGGAGCACCTTAACCTGCAAGCCCTTGGGATACAGAGAGCGTCTCATTGCTGTAATACCTTTTCTGTGTAAAATACTGGAGGTGCTTTGCCTTCTGAAAGGAAAACAGAGCTGACTTCAGGGTGTGACATTTAGTTTTATTTTACACAAGACTCTTCTAAGGTGCCTTCTTTAGTGTACTTCCTCTTGCTTCCCTTGAGCTGCTTCAGAAGAGGTGAAACTGCAGGCTTCAGGTGTTCCCTGAGGGCCCTGACAACGAAGGGATTATTGTTCAAGTGCTGACTGAGGCCTGAAACCAGTCGCCCTGCCCGGTGCTGCAGACGTAGGAGTTAATTCCTAATACCTGCTCTCCTCACCACGCAGGTTGGGCACCTGGTCCAGAAGGCTGCAGCAGAGAGTAACCTGAAGAGGGTGACACTGGAGCTCGGAGGAAAGAGTCCAAACATAATCATGTCTGACGCAGACAGTAAGCACCTTTCAGTGTAGTGCTTGAGCTGCCCCTTTTGCATTGGCTTTCTGCAAGCAGAGCTGGGGAGGAGAGGAAACCTCTCCTGTGGGTGTGAGTCTCCAACTCTGACCACACCTGGATGTTGTCACCCAGTGAAGTGCCTCTTGCTGTACCTGCTGTATTTGTGTAGTTCACTCCCACGTCTTCCCCAGTGCTGTGAAGTTCAGTTCTCAGCAAATGAGAACTGGATCAGTATCTTCCTTCAGTCTTACTCCATTTGGTTTTGTGTTTTTCTCTTGGTGTGTACCACTCTTTTCTACTCTTACTCATCTCCTGCATGCAGACTTATTGTTGGTCTTGAGGAGCCAACACATGTGCTTTTATATGGCAGTAAGGAAGTTAGATCTAAACCAACTTGTCCTTAATACCTCATAATGTCAAATGAGAACTGTATTCTGCCTCAGATCAGATTGGTTTTCTCTAGTGTGGGCTGTTTCAATAGACCCCCACACTAATTAAATCTGTATGTAACTTCTGCCCTACCAAAGCGTGGGGAACACCCATCAGCTGAAAGGGCTCCATCAGTCTGCATGGTGATTGTCCACAACACTCTGCTTGGGTTTGTTTGCTGATTTGTGTTCTCCCCTCTCCCCAATCTTAGTGGACTGGGCCGTGGATCAAGCCCATTTTGCCCTCTTCTTCAACCAAGGGCAGTGCTGCTGTGCCGGATCCCGGACCTATGTCCAGGAGGATATTTATCAGGAGTTTGTGGAGAGGAGCGTTGAGAAGGCCAAGAACAGGGTGGTTGGAAACCCCTTTGACTTTAAAACTGAACAGGGGCCTCAGGTAAGAGCAGGAAATGTCCTCATCTGTTATCTCCTGAAATAGCCCGGAGTCACTGTGTATCAGCAGATTGGAATGAAAGGGATCCAGGGTCTCTTGATTAAATCTCCTTTGAATTGTGGCCCTTATCTCCTTGCTTGTGCAGGAGGGAGAAGTCCATTAACCCTTCTGACGGTTCCAAACCCTCCACTTGAAGCTGGCATTTAAAAATGACCATCTTCCTTTGAAGCTGGCTCTGCAGGCTGTTGAAACGAGGAATTGCTGGAGCAGAGGAATTGCTGGAGCACCGTCACATGCACAGCAGTCTGTAGTCAAGTCTTTTGCTGCCAGTAAAGTGAAGCTGATCTCTCCGTCCTGTGGCTCCTAGGTAGATGAAGAGCAGTTTAAGAAGATCCTTGGGTACATTAATACTGGGAAGCAGGAAGGAGCCAAACTGCTGTGTGGTGGCAACGCCGCTGCAGACAGAGGCTATTTCATCCAGCCAACTGTCTTTGGTGACGTGCAGGACAACATGACGATAGCCAGAGAGGAGGTGAGACTGCAATTCTGTCTGTCAGCTTCTCCCTTCTTGCTCATTTTGCCCCCTCTGATGCAAAAACCTGGGCCTGGGCATTTGTGAACCACAGAACTCGATGCTGCTTAGAAAGTGACCACATTAAACTCCCTCCAGATTGCATCCAGGGTTCTTTGTAATACAGGGAATGATACTTTGAATTTGATGCCCATGACTCCCACATCCATACGTTAACTCCAGCATCAACCACAGCCCTGCTCCGTGCTCAAAGCACACACATTTTCACAAGCTCTCTTTGGATTTTGCAGATATTTGGGCCGGTTATGCAGATTCTGAAATTCAAAACCATTGAGGAAGTGATCGAGAGAGCAAATGACTCCAAGTACGGCCTAGCAGCAGCCGTCTTCACAAAGGATCTTGACAAAGCAAACTATGTGTCACACGGCCTGCGAGCTGGAACAGTTTGGTGAGCATCCACACTTCCTTCTCCCTCGGCTGCTGCAAGCTTTCTTGTGTGCTGCCGTTTCTCTATACACTTGTTCTTTGATAGCCTGTCTCTGGATCCGGTACTTCACTGAATGTAATGACAGGACTTCAGCTGTTGGTAAAAAATAGGTCTGTTAGGCTTCCATGTTCCCACTGGGAATTAATGTATTGGAATGGAGGGGAAGAAATCCAGTGCTGCAGTGGGGAATGAGAGCAATAGCTGCAGGGCTGAGGGCCAGCAATGATTAGATCCCTGAGCACATCTGTATGGCTGCAGTTGATGTTGGTGTGTGTTCGGAGGCCATGCAGCAGTGCCAGAGTAAGTTCTTCAACAGCAGTTTCCTGCTGCAGCAGGAGGTTTTGGAGAGCCAGTATCTTGCTGTCTGTTTGGTTTGTGATGGTACTGAAGGGAAAAAGGAGGTGTCGCTGGTACCTGTGCTCTGAGGGAGGTGTGGGTGGCAACCTGGGCACTGGGCGCTGTGATAATGCAAGAGGTGAATGGGTTTGATGTTGTTTCCTGGTTGATGGGAATAAGGTGTTGGTATGGAGTAACTCCATTGTCTGAGAGCACGGACAAACAGGGAAATCCTGCCTGGAAATTCTCCTGCAAACACCCATTTGCTGCAGAAGGCTCTTCCATTAATCAGGTCTGAAACCGCAGGCGCTTAAATCTTGTTTCCATTTCAGGGTAAACTGCTATGATGTGTTTGGTGCCCAAGCCCCCTTTGGTGGCTACAAAGCCTCTGGGAATGGGCGAGAGCTGGGAGAATATGGCCTGGAGGCTTATGTAGAGGTGAAAAACGTGAGTATCCCTGTATCCAAGGAATGACCCCCCGAAAAGCCATAGCTCCAAAGTGGCTTTGTGCCTGCTGGTCTGAGAGTTGCGGTTTGTCCTTGTGCTTGGAACAAAATTGGAGCTGCACTTGGGAAGTCACCACAGACACAGCTCCATGGAACTGAGAGCTCCATCCCTGGCAGTGCTCAAGGCCAGGTTGGACACAGGGGCTTGGAGCAAGCTGCTCCAGTGGAAGGGGTCCCTGCCCATGGCAGGCGTTGGAGCTGGGTGAGCTGTAAGGTCCCTTCCAACCCAAACCATGCCGTGATTCTAGAGGAAAACCATGGTTCTAGAGGTAACCTAATAGATTTTCTAATGTATACGTATTTTCTATGTAATATAAAATGATACATATTTTCTATGTAGCTTAAATATGTTAGAGATGTAACCTAACATTACCAGCTGCCTGCACCACTTGTTTAGCTGCTTCCACTGTACAGAATGCATGTGTGTGGACCTCCCCATGAGTTTACTGTGTGGGGAATGGGAAGAGATGGGGAGAAGCTTCTGCAGAGGAACAGTGGGCACTCATCACCCGAGAGCAGGAATCTGGGCAGTGACCTTAGAGAGCTTAATACGGCACTGTTGACTTGATCCCAGTGTTCCCAGTATTAGGAAATCTCATCCCCACAGGCTGATGGATATAACTGAACGCTGCCTCCAGGTTAATAATGTGCATGTGTTCTCTTTCCAGGTGACAATCAAAATTCCACAGAAGAACTCCTGAAGGAGAGTTTTGGGGGCATCTGTGCTTCTCCATGGGATGCAGAACAAGGAAACCTCTTCTTAACACACACAAAGCATAGGTGGAAAGCCTTTAACTCTGCGTTAAGAATTGTCTCTTTAGAAGGTGCCTGAAGGAGATTTTGTTATAAATGCTACTTGGCTTTCTCTTTTTAAAGTACCAAATACAGCCACTGGAGCCCTAATTCATTACATGGGGTACTCTTGGTGCATCAGGATTTATGTTCTTTCCGGGACTCATTTCAATGCTTGTCTGCAGTAGGTTGTATAGGAACTCTTTATGGGCTTACACAGCTCTACTCTTGTCCTGTGCACTCATCTATGTTCTGAACTGAGAGCTGTGGGACCCAGCAGAGCCTGAACCTGAGCTAAATCCTTGTTCTTGCTGCTCTCATTGTTATTCCAATAAACACCTCTTAGTGAAGTAAACCTGGCTTTTACCGGAGCAGTTTGTGGGGTGGGAGCTCCAGTGCTCTCACAACTTGTAAGTACCTCCTCCCTCAAGCCATTTTAAAGCTTTTTGCTCACTGTTTGCACTGCTTTCCCCATATTGGCGTAACGTTAAAGGCAGCTGCGGTGGGGAACACCTCTGTGGTGTATTGGTTACTATGAGGGGGCCGGTGGGGGCCAGCCATTACCCCCGCTGGGCTTCCCTCACGCGATCTCGCGAGACTTCGCGCCCTCCCGGCAAGGGGCGGGGCGAAGCTCGAGCTCCAGGCCCCGCCCCTTAGAGGGCAATGGTCCGCCCTTCTGGTCATTACGTCATTAGAAAGCACCCGCTCCTCGAAGGCCCCTTGGGGGGGCTTTGTTGGTGATGTCGTGTGTTTAAGGGGTGCCCTTGGCCGCCTGTAAGCCGCGACACCGCAGTAGCGGAGGCTCCGAAAAGTCCCCGGTGTGAACGGGGAGGCGGCGGGGGCCGCGGGCCGTGCTCCCGTGCTGGGCGCGGCCGGGTCGGCGGCGCTGTGCCGGGGCGCGCCGTCCGGCGGGAGTGCCCGTGTCCGGGTGCCGGCAATGCCTGGCTGCCGGGCGGCGGCGGCGGCTCCGCGGCGGCGGCGGCTCCCGGGCTGAGCAGCGGCTCCGGGCTCCCTCCTCCGCCTCCCCGCGAGGTCCCGGCCCGCCCCGGCCTGCCCGGGCGGGGATGAGGCGTTGCGGAGGTGGCACAAAGGCTCCTCCGGGGCTGCCCGTTGCCTAACGCGGCCCAGCGCCCCCCGGGCCGGCTCTGCCGCCGACTCCGTGCTTGTGCCTCGCCGGCCCTCGGCCTCCGCAGCCGCCCGCAGCCGCGCGGGAGGATGTCGGAGGATCAGGACATGGACAAGATGATCAAGGTAGGCGGGAGGCAGCGGCGCTCGGGGTCTCTCCTCCACCGGTCCCCGCTTTTCTCCGGCCTGACCGGTCCCGCTCCGCGCTTCTCGTAGGGCTGCGGCTCTACCGGGGCCTGGCTGCGCTCAGGGCGGTCACCCGCAGCGTCAGACACCGGGCAAGGAGATGGGAGCTGCGGGCGGAGGCTGCTGCGGGGTCGGTGTTGAGGTGCTGAGGCTGTGGGGAGCAGAAACGGGGTCCCCGGTGTCTGCCTCGCAGCGGTCCGCGGCTGTGCAGGGGCAGCGCTGTCGCCTCCGTGCGTCTCCGAGTTCCTGTTGGGATGCTGCCGTGAAAACAGACCTGGTGTGGGGGATGCTGGTGCTTGGAGCGGGGGTGGAGGAGCTGAGCGCAGCCGGGGCTTCTGTGTTCACAGCGAGGATCAGCGCGCGGCTGAGCGGGGCCCCTGGAGCAGCTGGGGAAGCCCTTTTGGGATGAAGTGACAATAAAACAGTGCTTTAAAGACTCTGCAGGCTCCTTATCTTGTGCAAAGCATTCGCTGTCACTGCCTGGATGCCTTCATGTATGCTTGTTTTAATAGGATGTATGAATTCCTGGAAGATGGAGGTAAAAAGACCCCATAGATTGGCATTTGGATGGATGCCCCATCCCTGGCAGTGTTCAAGGCCAGGTTGGACACAGGTTGGAGCAAGCTGCTCCAGTGGAAGGGGTCACTGCCCCTGGCAGGGGTTGGAGCTGGAGGAGCTTTAAGGTCCCTTCAACCCAAAGCAGGCTGGGATTTGCCACCTTCCTACTCCTTAGCCCTGTTATCTGCCATGGTGGGATTTGCCTTTGCAAAGCTCACTTGGGATAAAAGTCAGTGCAGGAGATGTCTCAGCACGTGTCTTCTATTCTTGAAACCTGGATTGATTTAAAATATGAGGATTTTTCCTTTTGTACTAAAAAAGTCCAAAGTAGAAGGAAGTTCAAGCACTGTGTTCAGCCATCCCAGCCTATTGAAATGATCTGCTGTCTCCTTGTGCCTCATTGTCCAGTTTGGCGCAGTGCAGGTGAAGCAGCTGTCCTGAAGGCTTTCAAAAACAAGGTTTTTCAAGTATTTCTGTGGTATTTCATGGGAAAGTAAAGAGCTACATCAGAGCTCTTGAGGTTAAAACCGAGCCAAATGAGGTGAAGTGGTTGTGTAAGGGTACGGACCTTCCGCCCCTCTGAGCAGGGAGGGTTTGGTTGAGATTTGAGGTTTTGATTCTGGGCAAATCTTCGGGTTTGTCTGAATCTCGATCTAATTTAGTACTTTTGTGAGTTATGCTGATCTTCCTACTCCTCAGATACTTGGTTATTGTTCACTTTGATTCATTTCCACCTGCGTCTGCATGTTTAAGGTCTGTGATTCCAGATAGCGATCGCTGTTGGATGCAGAGTTAGTTGCAAGGCTGTGTGTTGGAGCAGTGGAACTGGAGTGACACTGCTGTTGGCATTTCACTTGTTGAATGCATGGAGCTTGTCCAAGCAGCAGTCTGTGGACTTGTAATTGCCTGGAGTGGATACACATGAAGCACCTTACTTCAGACCTTTTCCTGTTGGGATTCAGTGGAGGCTGAGAAGCACCTGCACGTTCCCCTGAGCGCTCCTGACGTGTGTCCAACCCTGTTGGAAAGCAGATCAGGCTGGGAGAAGTCTCCAAGCCCTGCCTTTCCAGGCTGTTAGCATCCCAGACTGCTGACTCTGCACAGGAGGATGCTCCAACCTTGTTGGTTTAGGTACCCTGAGCTTGCTGAAAGGGAATTGCGCTATTGGAGAGTGTTCTGCATGAAACTTGTGTAATTCAAAACATTTCGAATCAGATTATTCCCTTTGCTGACTGGAAATTAATATGAGGAGGGATCAGAAGTTTCAAGTTCCTTTCACAGTGGCAGAAAAAAGTTTCCTGTAAGAAACACTGCAGATTTTCCTTTGGAAAGTGCTCTCTGGCACTGTTCTGCCTCCTGCATTCCCAACAGCGGCGGATTAGTTCCAGCTGACCTGTCAGCCAGTCTGAACACAAGTTCAGTGCTGTGCTGCAGTGCTGCTGTAAGGCTTTGTGTTCTCCAGATGTGGAGTTCAGTGCGGGATACCATCCCCTGTGCCGCCAGCATCCACAGGACATTAATCTAAATAAAGAGGCAAAATGTTCAGTGTCACCAGTTGCAACAGCTTGTGGTGTTTTCACAGGCAGTTTTGTATCTGCATGTTTTAGGTATCTCACTCAGAGTGTTATGAACTCGTGTTGATTTGCAGCTGGGTAGTGTTGGTGCTATGGAGCTGCTGTTTTTAATTAGGCGATGCGAGGAATTCTGTTCCTTGATGGGCATCAGAGGTCTCGAATACTGTATTTCATATCATTAGGAAATGGTGAATGGTGTTTCTTGATGAATAGATGGTTCCTTTATGCTTTCGAGTTGTAAAACTGCTTTGGAGTGAAGATTGGAATCCAAATAAAAATGCAGAAAGCACAAATGTTGGCTTTTTTATTTAAAACAATGGTAAAGATGCAGAATATGAAAGGGGAAATAAATTGCTATTAAAAATGGTTGCACTTGTCCTTTGGGAGTTGAGAACTAGCAGATCCTATTCTCACTTCATTTGATCCATAGATCTCAGGCTTTCCAATTCCCAACCAGCTTCTCTGTTCCACTTATTCAGCTGGGATGAAGCAAGTAGTCTCCATGCCCTCTCAGAAGCAGCATGAGGCAGCAGAAAACACAGTCAAGACTGGGCTTGTGTGTAGAGACAGTATCTCCTTTTAGCCCAGCTTGTGCAGTTGAAAGGGCTGGGGAGGTTTGGGGGCAGGCAGGGCCTTTGGTTTTGGAAGAGGAGCAGCACACTTCAAAGCTCTCTATAAAAGTAATGAGAAATTATCGCTCAATCACAGTGTTGCTCTGGAGTCCTTTGGCGTTTGCTTCTCCAGGTCAGTGGTTTGGCTTAAAAACTTACCTTGAAAGCACGTGCTGAGGATGTACTCCCCAGTCCAGAGAAACCCTTTCTCCTCTTGTTAAAGCTCTTCTACAGTTGTGGTTTCATTCCAGCTCTGCCTTCAATTCTCTGTATCTGGGCATCAGGGAAATGAAGTCAGCTCTTCCCCATCAGCTTCTCACAAGTGGCATTTATACTGGTTGAATTGATAAATTCGGTGTGTTTCTACTTAAAAACAACAAACCACATGTGATCCACTGTGCTTTTCTTCCCCTTTCCTTTAAAATCCATCATAAAACCTCCCGTTAACTTAAACTTTTCCCTTCAGGCCATTCACAGTAGTCACGTACGAGTTGTGTGATACTGCAGACTGCAATAACAGACAATTTTTCCTTCCATATCTGTCTTTTGCAGTCTCTAATCCCTTCAAATCTCGCCTTAAATATCAGCTTTCCTCTCTTGCTTTGTTTTCCAAGCTGTGTGGCTTGAGGTCTGGCTCCAGCCTGGCAATAGTGTTAATCCACAACTATTGCAGTGGAGGCGGATGATCCCAGGTCAGGGACTGCCATTCCCAATTAGTCGAGAGCAGGAGTGTTCTGTTTCCTCCTCTGTAGGTTAGTGGAAGGTGTCCCTGCCCATGGCAGGGGGTTGGAAGCAGTTGATCTTTATGGTCCCTTCCAAAGCAAACCATCTATGAGTGAATATAGAATGGTTTGGGTTGGAAGGGACCGTAAAGCTCATTTGGTTCCAACCCCGTGTCAAGGGCAGGGACACCTTCCACTGGAGCAGCTTGCTTCAAGCCCCTGTGTCCAGCCTGGCCTTGAACACTGCCAGGGATGGGGCAGCCACAGCTTCTTGGGCGGTTTCTTGCAGTTCATCAGGTTTCCTTATGTGTGTTTTGTTTGGTGGCTGAGTTTGCCCACGTTTCCAGCATCAGCCCTGCTCTGTTGGTGGATCCCCATCTGTGTGACAGCACGTGGCAGCAGCGTTAATCAAAATGTTCCACACTGAAGCTACGTTTACATCCTGCCTGGTGACATGTTTAAGCATGATAGCCCTTGTCATAATGAAACCAAACCCGGTTTGTATGGATTTAGACAAAAGGATTACAAACATGAGCCTGGTTCATTATCAGACAAGCTAAAACTAGTCAGGCAGGGTTTAATTTACAGGATAATGATTCCAAAGGGTTTGGAACCCAAAGAAAGCAGCAGGATAATTTTCCATTGTACCTTATGACAAAGAAAATACATAATAATGCTAAAATTGGGCCGTTGTGTTCAATTGTGATTGATCATTTATAGGTAGGAAGCTGGATTTAAAAGCTGGAGTGGGAATTGCTCTTGATATGCTTCCTGTATTAAAGGTACAAGATCCCTTTTACTGTTCCTAATAATCCATTTTCCAAATGCTAAGTGAGCAGTCTCAGCTGCACAGAAATAACTTTAAACTGTGATATATTCTTAGATGAGCATTTGTATTTATGTTCAGTTTTCCTGGTGTGAAGCAAAGCTCCAAACCAGGCTCGCTCTGCAGTCAGATCTTTCAGATGAGGTCTGTGAGCTGGGTTCTTTTGAAGGGGCATAGTAATTCATTTAGTTTGATTTATTTTCTTTACTCTCTTTTTCCCTCCCCCTGCTCCTTCTTGACTAGGAAACCTCCATTTTAGAGGAGTACAACATTAACTGGACTCAGAAGCTGGGAGCTGGGATCAGTGGTCCTGTTAGGTAAGACCATACATCTCGGGTTTGTGTGTAATCTCAGCCTGTTTCATTAGCTGTGTGAGTAATAAGTGAGTACCTATTGTAAGTGTGCTAACAGCAGGTGTGTTATGTGGAAGACTCTCATTATAGACAAATAAATGTGTCTACCCCATATGGGTCATAGCTGATGTGCTATTGTCTTTTCTGGGTGTGTTTCAAGTGAAATCTCTCTTCCTCTCTCTGGCATTATCCCATCTCTCTGCTGTGTTCCTGAAGCAGAGGGGGAGCAGGAGTCAGTGGTGAAATGGAGACAGCAGAAACTTCTGCTCAAACACCTTTGTCCCTTTGGTACTAATGTCAGTGTGGTGCAAAGGTCGCTGCTCCCATCTAAGGTATCATCACTCGGGGCATTGGCACTGTGTGCCCTTAGCTATTTTTACCAGCTGTTTATTCAGATCCTCATGTGAGGCCAAAGCAGATAGTGCCGTGAGCTCTGCATCTCCAACCAGGCTTGCCCAGCATGAATTTCTCACCCTGCAGGAACTGGATGCTTTCCATAAAGCAAAACATACATCCCCTTTTCGATAAGCACTTTTGGGAGCAGGAATCTGTGCTGGAAAACAACTGCCTGCACCTCTTGTTTCTGGGTGCTTGACAGGGCGATTGTCTTGTGACCATTTGTCTTCTTGTCCAGGCAGTTGGTTCATTCTCCTCATCCATTTTGTGTTGCCTCTGATCTTTACTAAAATATCCCTTTGTGCTTTCTTCCTTTAGCTGCCTGGTTATATGTGGGCCCTTCCCTCTGACGCAGTTCAATTGTTAATGTTAAATGGGGGAAAGAGAGAGAAGACCTGTGTGTGACACAGTTGGTGGCCTTGCCAAAGCAAGGGTTTCCATTCAGAAGCACTCTATTTACTGCAGCCTACACCCTCCACTGGGGATGTGCAGGCTGCCTCTGTGTGGTTTGGGGTTTTTCCATCCAGGGTGTCTCTTCAGGCTGGGTGTACAGAGTGTGTTCTGCTTGTCTGCAGTTCCCATTGCTCTGAAGTCCTTCTGCACTGCTGAAAACAGAACTTTGTGTGAGGTGTTTCTATGTAACCTATTTGTTGTGGGAGGCTGAAAACTGAGGCTTTCAAGCTGGGACGTGGTGACAGGTGCCCTGTCTATTCCAGATTGCGGGCATTACTGCTCATCCCCATGTGGAGAGCAAACTCGTAACTGCACATCAATTGCTTGAAGTGTCTTTTTAACGTTCTTGCTGACTGAATGATTTTATTGCTGTAATACCAGAGTCTGCATGAAAAAAGCCTCTCAAGAACGCTTTGCACTGAAAATCCTTCTTGATCGTCCAAAAGCTAGAAATGAGGTATAGTTCCTGTTTATACTGTCTGCTTCTCACACAGCACAAGTCTTGCCCTTTTGCTGAATTGTTGCCATGGTTTAAGAGAGGAAAAACCCCACTGATTTGCAGATCTTGCTATGCAAGGTTCCCTGGGTTTGCTCCTCTGGCCTCGCTGAGCTCAGCTCCTGTAGGATGAGGTAGTGGGTGAAAGAAGGGGGGTTTTCTAACTCTGAGTTTGATGTAGGTGTTAGCTGTATAGGTACCAGTGTCATTTACAGAGCTGCATTTTAAAGCTGGTGTTCTCCCTGCGCTCCATGTAATCTGAATAGTTCAGAATGAATTCTGTTTCTGTACATCTCACTCCTGGCTGTCACTAAGAATTGCCAGGAATGCTTCATAGTGTGCTCTAAATGGTGTGGGTTTATCCATGTATGAGAAACTAAAGAAGCTCATTGATGCTTTTTGTGACTTACTGTAGCTGGCAAGAGGCGTGCCAAGGTACCAGACTGTCAGTCAGTTGACATGATGTGACGTGACATTGGCGTGACAGTCATTCAAGTTGTCCTGAAAAGGAAAGAAGCATTAATTGCCCTCAAGGTTTAGGCAACTTTCATTTCTTTTCACTGAGCAAATTCTCACTTAAAATTCACAGGGAGAAATATTCTGTTTCCAAAGAGCATCAAACCTCAGCTTGATGTAGCAGTTCCAGGTAGCTTTAAAGTGGGGAAAGCTCCTCTTTCAGCATGTTGGAACAGGAGATGAGGCTTCTTGTATTGCAGCTGCTGGGTCATTGGGCCATAAAAGCAGCCAGATTATGGAATTTCAGGTTTTAGTAATGAATTTTTGGTTTCAATCACATCTCTGTTGCTACTTTAAAGCCAGTTCTAGCTTGAAATTCGCTTAAAAACCCCAAAGAAATCAAAGACTGGGCTTTTTCTGGAGCTCTGCTGGGTTTGTCCTGTGGTCTGTAACAAATAGGTTGGCAGTGTATGATCTTTGTGCCTTGGTCTAAGCAACGTAATGGCCATTCCTATAAACCCTTGTAGGCGTTTCTTATTGTGTGTATAGCTTTAAACTGGGTGTGACTGGTGCCGAGCGCTGGTAGCAGCACATGGGCCCGTGTGTGCTGCAGTCCTGGGGGCAGAGGGACTGGTCAAGGGCATGTCACTGTGTACAGTAACGTTTCTTCCCTTCTCTTCAAGGTACGTCTGCACATGATGTGTGCAACACATCCCAATATTGTTCAGATTATTGAAGTTTATGCTAACAGTGTGCAGTTCCCACATGAATCCAGCCCAAGGTAAGGTTACGTAGGGTGATTCATCCCCACAGCTTGCTTTCCATGTTTAGGCCAAGGTATAGTGGAGTCTGCTTGGGGTTTTTTTTGGTGACCAAAATGAACATTTGTGGGGGTTTCCAGATATATTTATTCTTCAGACTAAGCAAACTTGCTTTTCACTCTTTCAGTGCCCAGACCTCTGAGGATTTAAATGAATTTGCATTGTTCGCTGCTGCTTGTGCATGCATCTTCATTTTTCAGGGGTTTGGTTCAGTCTGTGACATGTGCATTGTCAGAGACAGTATATTAGCTTCTAGCTTCTGCCTTGCTTCGGTATTGCTTTAGGAGCTTGAACTGAATTGATTGTAACCTTTGAGCTCCTTCTGCTTTCAAAGCACTGTTAAAGCAGGATTAGAGCTGTGACTTCTGTTGCTACCTAGAGCAAGTGAGATCCTTTTACATGATGGTGTTGCCTGTGAGCCACTGGGAAACTCAAGAGTGCCAGTCTTCATTAAACACATAATGGAAGAAAGACTTGTTTCTAAAATGCTAGGTTCTGCCCTGTAATCTCTCAATACATAGTTCTGCTTAAAGTGAATACAGCCAAACATGAAGCAAGCTTATTTTTCATACCTTAATATCACTTGGGATAAAAGTACTGTCTTCTAATTGGATGTTAGTTGAGAAGAAAATATCAGAGCTGGGAGGATTAAAGAGCTGAGATCTGTCGTGGTCTCTGATGTATCTGATTTTGCTGTGTGGCAAGAAAAGCAAGGGGTTAGTTTGTTGAGGATCTAACAGCCCTGATCGCCACTCTTTCTATTCGTTATTCTTCCTAATTATGGCAGTAAAACTGTAAATTAAAACCAGGAGGTGCAGTGGAGGATCCAGACTCAAAAGCATTAAAGATAATTCCTCAGCATTCTGCTTCAAAGTTGCCGTGATCATCTCCAGCGCCCAGGCAGACAGCGAGGCAGGTCAGCACGTCTGCAAGGATGGGTGCAGGCAGGTATATGCTGTGCTCTAAGCCAGCTCCAGCCTGGAAACCGTTCAGCCTGTTTAATGCAAGACTCTACCTGCTGGATTATTCTTTAGTTGTGTCTAAATGGCTTCCAGGTCCAAACTGGCTTGCTGGTGGAAAGTGTGGTTGGAGCATGCATCTGTCTAAATGCATCCATGTAGACATGTCCATGGTGTTTGTTCCAGCTGGATGTGGGAGCCCATCATGGAGAGGGAGCTGTAGATTCCTGGCTGACAATCAGTGAGTCAGATGATGCAGGGAGCTAGAAAATCCTGAAGTTTATGTGCTTAAAGGCAGAATTACAGAAGCAGAATAGGCCTTAACAACTGTAGGAGAAGCGAGCGTACGTGTCTCTTTCGGCCTGCATCAGTAGATGTGAAGTATGCATTATTAGCTTAGCAACTCTGTTCTTTTTTTTGATTATTTTTAATATAACAAAATGAAATGCTTTTGAACAGGGCTCGGCTCCTAATTGTAATGGAGATGATGGAAGGGGGAGAGCTATTTCACAGAATCAGCCAGCACCGGCACTTTACTGAGAAGCAAGCAAGCCAAGTAACAAAGCAGGCAAGTCAACCCCCATGTATAAGCAAATCCATGAATGATAATGGCTAAAGTACTTAACAATTTTTGGGTGGGGAGGGGTGGTGGGGAAAAAGGAAGCTAAAATAATCCTCAGTTCTGATCCAATGATCATTGCCTGCTTTGTTATAACCTGACAATGCCAAAGTTTGAATAGAAGCAAAGGATTTGAAGGTGTGGGCTGGTTGTTCTGGGTTGGGACCCTGGGGTCTCTGCTGTCTTTAGCAGTGGTTTTCCTGACCTGGTCTACAGAACCCTTCACCTGAGAAAGCTCTTCTCTTGCACAACCTTCCTGCTGTTTCCTCACTGTTGCTTTAAAGGTGTTGCCTCCAACAGCTCTCACAGACCCTGTGCGGCTCCTGAGCTTCAGTTTGAGAATCGCTCTTGGCCATGACACAGAGCTGGTGTTTCTCTCACCTCTTGGGCAGCAGACAGTAACACACATGTGTCCTGGGCCAGTGGTTTTCAAGCTGGGTTCTGTATTTGGTGTCATGGAAGATAACAAGAGGAATGTACCACTGCAGTGCATGTTTTCTGTGCTGTTTGTTCCGATGTCGTTTATCCCTCTCCATTTCTCTACACAATTCACTCTTGAATGTTGTATTTTATAGCCTTCATGAGATTTATTGTTAGAGGTTTTGATGTCCATCAGGCTCTTTCTTGCTTAGCAGTGTGTCTCGTGTGACTAGCTTATGTCCTGCTGTAGTAGGTAGGATGATGAAGCAGAAGGGCCTCCATGAGATGCATTCCCAGTGTCATTTTGGGGTGAACTCATTCCCTTTCACTTCCAAGCTGTTGGATGTCTTGTGATGTGCAGTCAGAAAGCTTGGATTAGTGGGAGGGTTGCGGGAAAGATGGCTGTGTGTTGTGGTAGCCTTTCTAGGGAGCTACAGTAGAGGACCAGCAAGTTGGTGTAAGGACCCACAAGGCAGAAGGATCTTGCTATCAAAATGCCACCACAGCATGAATTTGAGGGATGGAGTTGCTGTTGTTTGCTCCTAGCAGAGGTTACATTGGCATTCCAAACACAGGATACACGAACTGTAGGTGAGAAGCTACACTGGAGATAGCAACCAGGAAATGTCTCACTCCCACACGAGTGAGCACTGCAGTGAGTAAAGGAAAGAAAATGTGATACAAGATGTTACAGCGTTTGTTGTAAATTGACATGACTTTATGAATATATCCATATCTTGATAGCTTGCTTCTCCCTAAGCTGGAGAGATAATCTTTGGTACTGAGGCTGAAGTATTGAATCTTACTTTTGTGGCTTGTGCTTTGAGTGGTTTCTAATGAAATGCTAATTGTGCTGTTCCCTTTTTGGTGTCATCCAACAAAGAAATGAGGTGGAAGTGCAGAATTACTCTTGACAGTTTGTTTTCATGTCCTTTGGGCTGTTTGAGTTTGACGAAGGCAGTCTCCAGGATGAACATATTGGGAAAATCTTGTCAAACTGTACCAAAAGGCAAGACTTTGAGCTGAATTCCGACTGTGTGAGCACTTGGGTTATGCAAGCTGCTCAAGTAACTCTTTGCTTTAATGTTTATACAAGTGAAGTTTGAAAGCAATGTTAAAGTTGTATTCTTTCATCTAATGGTGGTTCATCATTGTCTTGAACTGGGTTTAATTCCTTGTACCAAGTAATAGTTAAATCTTGTTTCAAAGCTTTCTCATTTTCTCTGGGAAGGTGCTTGTGTTTGGTTCTAAGTGAACAGTGAAGTTCTCATGTAATGGTAATTTACAGTCTCCTAAGGAGTCAGCACTTCACTTAGAGCTCTGTGTTTGGGTCAGGTCCTACAGGAACACTTTCAAATAAGGGTTGTGTGGCTTTGCCTTACTTTCAGTAATGCTGTTTAAGTATTTATGCCTTGTCTTTAAATGAATTGCACTTTGAAATGTACAATCTGTAGAGCTTTCATGGCTGGGTTACAGGTTTCTAAACCACAGCAGTGTAAGAAGCCAAGTGAACGAATCAAGTAATGCATTTCTGTGTAATGTCCCATGAAATGAGTAGATTCCAGGCAGTACCATCAGGAATTAAAGATTAAAACTGCCTGAACGTTGACTCTTAAGCCAGAAACAAATGTGATAAAATACTCCCTGAAATGTTGAACCAAGAGCTTGCTGCTCACTGTCAAACAGAACATAATTGCTGGAGAGGGTGAGAGCAAGTGTTGTGACCTTGTAAGTCTAGCATAGCATGTAAAAGGATCTGTGTCATGATCTGTGTCACTTCTGGGGGTTAATAATACCCAGAGTTAGTCAAATTGAGATGGTTGGGAAGCTCAGTACAACTTAGCTTTTATTTCCTGTTTGTTTTCAGTGGTGGGTTTCATTTCCCAGTCGTGGCTCTACTGCACTGATGTGCAGGATGGCCAGGCTTGTCTTAACTCTGAGTTGTACCCAAGTGGAGTGAGCAACATTTGGGCTCTAAGCTATGTTTGCAGTGTCCTTTTTAAAGCTAAAATAAGTGTCCAGGCTAAAAGAGGAGTTCTGTAATTGTGGTTGATTTATTGTGCCCTTTTTCAGATAGCTTTGGCTTTGCAGCATTGCCACTCACTAAACATTGCACATAGAGACCTCAAGCCTGAGAATCTCCTCTTCAAGGATAACTCTCTGGTAAGATGAAGCCTTGGGGTTCTTTTTTTCTTGCTGAATTCTGTAAAATGGTGGTTTTCAGAATAGTTGCAACATGACATCAATGCAATGTTGTGGTGACAAAAATTAAGGAGCTTTTTTGGCTTTGTGCTTTTCCGTACTCTGATCTGTTTGGAGTACAGCCTGTGCTGCTGCTGCTGCTGTTAAATATGGCTCGGGTTCTCCACCCCAACACAGAATCCTGTTTTGATGATAAGAGGATCCACTCTGCCACATTTGGTGTTGTAGGGATGTTTTAACATACATTATGGATGCTTTGATGTACCCAAGCTCTTGCCCTTTTCATTCTTCTGCTCGTAACCACCCCGCATACGCAGTGATACCTCTACAATGTGCTTTCCAAATCAGAGGGGGACTGCTTTAGGCCCAGTGCACCCAGAAACAAAAATGATTGTTTCAGAGATCAATTTATGATCTTCTGGCTGCTCTGTGGAACGGTGAGGGTATAAATACAAAGGAGGAGTACATGTGGCAAAGGTAAGGCGAGTACAAAGTGAAGAAATGTGTATTAGAAAAGCTGATACAATGAGATTTTGTAATGAAGCCTCTTCTCTTTGTTTTAGGATGCTCCTGTTAAATTGTGTGACTTTGGATTTGCCAAAGTAGACCAAGGTGACTTGATGACACCACAGTTCACTCCATATTATGTAGCACCTCAGGTAACAAACAGTTACAGATCTGGGCTGAAGGGGAGTCATGATCTTTATTGCTTGTGTCTCCATAACCATGTCATTTTAAAAGCCTTTGCTGTCCTGTTAAGGGCTTCTGGGCACAGGCATCTTGAGTAATTATATAGTAGCCAACTTTGAAGGTGGAGTGCCACAGAGCTCCATTGATTGCAGCAGGAGATCATGAGGCAGATTTCCCAGACTGTGTCCTTAGCACTGACTGGTTGCTGGTGCCTCCTGACTTTCCCAGACGCAACTGCCTTCAATGAGGCTACTCCAGGATTTGGGCAATTGGCCTTTAACTGCATTAAGGCAGTGGGTTTGGAGAAGTCCCTGCTTTGCAATCCTTCCTCCGGCTCAGACTTGTTCAAGATGACCTTAAAAAAGACTACAGTGAAACAAAAAGGTTCTGTAAAGGCAGTTGCTTAAGAGAGCAGTGCCGGAGGGTTACCTGTTCACCTTGGTTTGCCCCCTTTGTCAGTGTGCATTGAGACATAATCTATCATTATAGCAGGATGGGTTTTGTAGTGCTTTTTTCCCCACTCTCTTTTGTGCTTTGTGTTGAGGTCCTGAAGAAAATGGAGGGACTGCAGATATTTAATTGCAATACTGGGCACGTCAGCAGCCTTTAATGACTGGGGAGAGAGATTGCAGGGATCAGACCATGCGGCCACAGTTGAGTGCCCTGGAAAGGCCTGCTCAGCTGGAGCCTGCTGGTGAGGGGCCATGTGCACCACAGGCAGGGTTTGTAGAACAAGTGAACCACCAAACCCACAGAAAACTTTTCCCAAGCATGTTTAAAGGGAGATTTCTGTAGAAACACAGATTTGATCAGCAAGGGACAAATTTGATGTGATGTGTTTGTGGGAGAGGCAAAAAGGGACATCTCTAGAGCTAAGGTTATCCTCCAACCAAGCTTTAGGTTCTAGTCCCAAAGTAGGGAGGTGTTAGAGGTTTTAAGCAAACAAGGTGTGAGCAGTTGCTTTAATTCAGAAAAGTGGAGTTTTCACCCAAAGCAGCAAAATATTTTACCTGAGATTTTCCCCACGTGGAAAGTTCCAGTCTTTCTGAGGAAGAGCAGTTTGATTTTGGCAGAGTCTTCAGTAGCTGGAAGAAGTCCACCAAACGGAGAAGCATCGGGCATCTTTGGCATAGGCACTGCTGTTTGTGGTGCCTGTAGATGAGATGGATTTTGGATTTTGGTCTGTTTTTTCTCTCATGGCAACAGGTATTGGAGGCACAAAGACGGCATCAGAAAGAAAAATCTGGTATTATCCCCACCTCTCCAACACCTTACACTTACAACAAGGTAAGCTGTGAAACTGGCCACAAGTCAATGTCTTTACAGCACAGTGTCTTCCCAACCCCACTAGGAGCAGTCTGTAGACACAGTTTATCACCTAAGGCATTAAACCTCATTGCCCTGAAATTGCACTTATGGCCAGGAGCAATACACTTGTTCTTACCTCAGGAATACATCTAGCCTCGCATTGAGTCAAAAGCAGGATCTGCAGGGAGCAGTAGGGAGATGACATCTTGCTTGCTGGTTTGCGTACACATGTTAGAAAGTAGTATTTGTAGGGTTGTATTTCTCAAAAGTGTGGTTCCTTTGGCTTTCCTAAAAGGAGTGACCAGGCAGACAGTGGTATTTCTTCCCTTCAGTGTGTTGGGTTCAGACCAGGCTTCATTCAGTTGAATGGGCAAATTAGAAGATAATGATCTGTGCAGGTAGTTGTCTTTCTCTGTTTAGAAGTGACAGGCTTTAGCGCTTCTGGCTCTGCATTCCTCCTCATAGAGTGAATAGTGAAATGCACACTTGGTCCCAGCTTAATTAATGATCCTTTAATTAAAGGGAAATGCACAAGCACTGTTAAAGGAGCACTAAATATTCACAAGATTTGGGAGAGAGCAGAATGGTTCTGCTGGAGTGTGACCATGTGGGAAGTTCTTTCACCTCCACAAGAGGCTGGCTGCGGGGAAACCTCTTCCCTGCTGCCAGGCAGAGTTTCTGGGTGTGCAAAGCACTCTTTGGGGTATCTTGTTCAGGCAGTCATGGTGGTACTGTGTCTCTATCAGGGTTCTTCTGCAAAATGACCAGTTTGTGTGCTGTGTGGTCTGTAGCAGTGGCCGTGGGCAATAACAAATGCTGTCAGAATCTTGGCAGAGCTATGACAGAAAGTGTCCTGAAAGGCTGTGCTCCTTCTTTGTCATTCCAAAACATTTTCTTCCCTCTTATCATCCCTGTCTCCTCTGGCTGAGCAGTGTTTGAACCTCTGAAGTGTTATTGCAGTGTCAGTTTTGATTGAAGTTAGCTGGTTTCTGATTGCAGAGCTAAGTATCTATCCTGCTTCCAGCTTTAGGGATGGTGGTTTAACCCACCACATGCTAGAGGGAGTAGTATGATATATAGTATTGTGTTTTAGTAGCCTTCTATAGGGAGACCTATCGTCTAGGGTTTCCTGTTCATGAATCTGCCTTCTTTATAGTTAAGATCATTTCTTCTCCACCCTGGAGAAACCAGTTGATGATTGCAGGCAGACACTGATCTGTTGCTCCGAACTGCTTTCAGCCACGGTGGCACTAACTGGACAGGCTGCTGAAAGAAGTGGCCTCATCCTTACCATGCCAAGTGTGACTCACTGCAAAAGCAGCATCTGGCAAACCCTGGTTCCCCAAAATAGACTGTGCTAGGCTCCAGGTACACTGTCCTTCCACAGCCGCACTGGGTGGAAATGCCTGTGATCCACCTTCATGATCAGGATTGCTCTCCCACTGATTTAAACTGGAGGGAAAAAAAACATTATCTTTGATTCTTGAGTGGTTTTATCAAGCTGTGCGTGCGTTGGATCGAATATGAGTGTCTGTGTCGTGGCTGGAGGGGTTGAATCTTGAGACGTAGAATCTGAGAACCCTATTGATGAAGCGTTTAGACATGTTTCTTACTTACATGCCATAAGTTCCATTGATTTCATTAGAAGTTATCTCTGGTCAATGGAAAAACGATGAGAATTAGACTTGGTTGGCTTAACTTCCTGAAAAGCATCCGTATGGGGGTAACTCCTTGGAGTTTCTTTTGTTATCAGCATCCACATGTGATCCAGATGAGGAATAGATGTGGCTTTCAGCTTCTTCACTGTGCTGGTATTTAGCTGGATCTATTGCCTGGATGAACTTGGTGTGTATCACACCAGCAGGAACACTATTGCAAGGGCAAAGGAGGGAGCTCCAGGCTGGAGTTGGAGGACAGGGGGGAGCACAGTGTGAAATACTGCTCCTGCCTTGCTGAGGCTTCTTCATGTCCTGGCTTCCAGGATGTGTGTTTTCCATTACAGGCATCTCTGCTAGCTCATCTGTTTTTTTAGTCTCACATTCTCCAAAATGACTGTATTCTGGTTTATGCTCTGGTATTGAGAGAGTAGGATTGAAGGATCCTGAGAAAGGTACTAAATGTGCAGCTTACTCACACCACTGATGCACTGGCTGTTTCCATGCATTTTCCATGCACAGCGTGGAGTTACAGCAGTTCTGTCAACAAGCTACTTTTGGGTACTGGAAGTAGTTTAGCTTGGCAGCATGGAGTTGCCCTGTGCTTACCTATTTGCCATATTTACCCACAAAGGTCCTCACATGGACCTTTAGGAGGAGGCTGAGCTGTGTTTCTGTTTCCTTAGGGAATCACATAAGAGTTTTTAACGTAGCTACACCACTGCTTGCTGCAAACTGCGCCCCAAAGTGATCATTTCCTTGCTTTCAGAGCTGTGACTTGTGGTCCCTGGGTGTCATTATTTACGTGATGCTGTGTGGATACCCTCCGTTTTACTCCAAACACCACAGTCGGACAATTCCAAAGGACATGCGGAAAAAGATCATGACAGGAAGTTTTGAATTCCCAGAGGAAGAGTGGAGCCAGATCTCAGAAATGGCGAAAGACATTGTGCGAAAGTGAGTCAGTTGAGGAGATGTTGTATTGCTCTTATATGAAATTGGAAAATCACTTGGAATTGAGGTATCCCAAAAGGCTTGTTTTTCCGAAGGCGGGGGGGTTGTCTGCAGCACATACAGCTCCAAAGCTTTCTGTCCTATTCAGCATAAATGAAGCCTGGTAAATATTTTTCTTTCCCTCTCTTTTTCCTCCCCAGTTGTTGTGTTCAGTTTTTGCTGTCTCTCGTCTCTGAAGCTGCTAGAGTGCCACTGTGTGTTTAGTCTTTAAGGGAATGAGTGTATGGCCTTGATTCAGAGCAGTATAGACAGCTGTGTGCCACATCTGCAAGTACTCCTTAGGCACGTATCTCCAATGGTAATGTTTAAACTCCTGTTAGAATCAGGGGGCATTTAGGTGGTGCAATAGGATCTGGTAGATCTGTCCCATAAAACCCGGTTCATGTAAGGCACAGTCTGAAAGGAGTTAGGAGAGAAGCATGGAAAAGGGAGGTTAAGCTCTGTCACAAGGTGTCAGACCGTGAGATAAGGTTTTGCATTGATATTTTAACTCTAAATGCTACTGGGCACTGTTTATCATGCAATGCACATCTCTGGGTTGCAAGTGTTTCAAAGACTGATCCCATGATCCTGTTTGAAAGCAAGAATGTGGCACTGATTAGGTCTTAACCTCACTTGTGTTTTAAAATGTGGGGGGACTTTCTGCCTTTGCTTGGATCAGCAGAGGAAGTGGAAGGATAAAAGCAACATAAATGGGAAAAAATCAATCTGTTAAATAAGTTTAAACTATCACTTTCTCCTCTGCCATAGTGTAAGATCTCCAAGGACTTGACATTGCTTGGAAAGGGAGCTGGGACCTGTTTCTGCCAGTGCAGGAGAGTCAACAGCCTTTGACCAAATAAACTGCAGATTACATTGCAGTAAAAACTTACATTTATACCAAGGTTAACTCTTTATTCTCACTCAGAAGCTCTACAGTCAATAGGTTTCATTGTCTTTTAAAATGGCCATGAAACACAGCTCACAGAATGATGTTGTTTGGATTCAGTTCACTTAATTCTCTCACTAATGTTATCAGGACTCCCTTTCCTGCTTGTCTTTTCCAGCCAGTGGGTCTGAATCTGTGTTTATGGTGCAGGAATAGGCTTAGACTTCATATAATTCTGGATAAATTTACATTATATTTATGTAGACTGTTATTCAGATGGAGTCTTGCTTCTGGAGGTCCTATTTGGCATTCAAGCAGCTGCTTCCTTTCAAGCATGTTGAGCTGATTTCTGACCTTGAGCTTTAGAAGCTGGAGTGCTTGGTAATAGGTTAGGACTTCGAGGACCTATAGGAAAGGAATGCATGTGTCTTGGGTCTTGTATCAAAACTGGCCTGGTTCCTGAACTTTCTGAGCTAGCCTGTGGTCCTGCTGACATTTGGTGGAAGTTACTTCCACTTTCTTGGTACATTAAACAATTGTGCTCTGCAGCCAGGAAGCTGATCTCAAATATTGGCTGCTGAGCTCATCGAGTCGCTCTGTCTCCAATTTAAACTGGTGGGATGACTTGTCAGCACTCTGTGTGAGATGGCACTGGTTTATTAAGCAGTTGTGATCATCATGAGAGCAGCAGTTTATTGGCAAAATCTCTGCCCAGGGTTTTATTCTAGAAAAGTTTAATTCCAAGGTGTTTTCAGAGATCTCAAAGTTCCTTCTCATTCTGAGGTGCTGTATGCTGTCAGAGTGGCCATTACTTGAGGTTTTGCAGGGGGAGAAAAGCTAAGGAGTTGCATGGTAAAAGCTGCTAATTCAGTAAACAGGTTTCTAACTTGGAAGCTCTCCCTTACTTCACCGTGCCCAGAGTCATTGATATGAGCATAGCCTGTTACATGGATGAGCTCTAGATGTGCATTTCCAGAGAGTCTTCGTCTGGATCATTTCCAGTTCAACTGGAAGGTGGTTTTCCCATCTGGGAGGATGTGAATGTAGAGTTCAACAGTACATGGGTATTACTGAAATGGCCCTCAGTGCCTTTCTTTTATACTGAGTTGCTCAATGTAACTGAATGAGCTGTTATAGCATTAAACTATCACCACAGCAAGGGTGGAAAGTCAGCCTGCTTTTGGGTCAGCTGAGTGTTTTAGTTGGTTTTAGCCCCTCTAATGCTTAGAGATGGCTCCGTGCTTTGACCCCAGACAGAGCAGCACATTGTAAAGCAGCAAAGACTCTTTATGGACTGACTGATTTATCTCCCAGGCTGCTGAAGGTCAAACCTGAGGAGCGTCTGACCATTGAAGGTGTGCTGGACCATCCCTGGCTCAACTCCACTGAGGCACTTGATAACATCCTCCCCTCTGCCCAGATGATGATGGACAAGGTCTAAACAACATTTTAGTTTGTCAAGAATGTTGCATAGGGAAGCTGGGTAGCTTTGGGGTGGTTTGAGTGTTTCCTTTCATGTGGTGTTATGCAGATAAGGAGCATCCTTTCTGCCTTAAGGAGAGCCTGAGACCTTTGTAAAAAAATGGAAATGGTTCCACTTGACATTTGGGCTATAAATCTGTATAATGCAAACCTGATTGTTATTGTGCATCTCTGAAATCAATAGGATTCTTTCATTCACACAGAAGCTAATTAAAACATCAAGTGCAACTCTCTTCATTGCAGGCAATGGTAGCAGGGATACAACAGGCTCATGCAGAGCAGCTTGCAAACATGAGGATCCAGGACCTGAAAGTCAGTCTCAAACCTCTTCACTCCGTCAACAACCCAATCCTGCGCAAAAGGAAACTACTGGGGTAATTGTAACCATGCTCCTGAATTCCTGATGTGGTTGACACACTCTTCATGTTGAAGCGGGTAGTTGGAGTCAGGTACTACTTGCACAGGGTGATGTGTCTTCCAAGATATGCCAGTGAGGGCAGGAAGGAGTTGGATAGAGTTATTGTATTATAGAGGAAGCAAAACAGATCCCTTATGAGAAGTTGAGTAAGGTAAGAGAATTCCAAGATTTTTTTACTGATCCTGACACTTATTTACTGAAAAAGTCAGGTAATCTGTGTCTCTCTCTTTGTTCTAGTTCCCTATCCGAAAAACAGGATAGTGCATTTAGGATTACCCTTATTTGAATTAAATTAAAGGGATATTTATTTTTCTTCATATTTAAAGGGTATCATAATAAAGGACATTATTATAATTGATACTGTATCTAGCTCCCATTCCCAGCTTTCCAGGCAGTGAAAGAGACCATTATACTGGTGCAGTTATGCAGTGAGTAACAGACTTTAGTTGCATTCAAACTGTAATTGTTTCCTCCTTGTTCTTTTGCAGCACTAAGCCGAAGGATGGTGTTTATATCCATGACCCTGAGAATGGAAGCAACGATTCCAACGTGGCTCTGGAAAAGCTGAGAGATGTGATTGCTCAGTGCATTCTACCACAGGCTGGTAAAGGTTGCCACTTTTATCTTAAAAGTTACATTCCTAACACATTTTACTGTGCTTCAAGATCAGTTTGTGTCAGTGGTGAGGGAGGATAAACAAAACTCCTGTTGTCCTAATCAGTCTGGAGGGGAAAGTGTTGTCTATGGACTGTAATTTTGGTGCATGCATAATGTTAGTGTCAGAAGTGACATGCAGAGCTGTTAAAACAACTTCCAAAGAGGAGTGTCTGCTTTCAAGCTATTCCTTAGTTTGTGTGAGGGGAGGAGGGTTATAACTGCGTGGAGTGTTTGCAGGCAGAATGACAAACCTCCTGTTTATCTCTGGTCTCCTGAACAGGAGAGAATGAAGATGAGAAGCTGAATGAAGTGATGCAGGAGGCATGGAAGTATAATAGAGAGTGTAAGTTACTGCGAGACACTCTTCAGAGCTTCAGCTGGAACGGTGAGGAACTGCTTCTCTTCCATGGAGAATGGTGCTAATGCTAGGTGAAATAGGGGAAGCAGTCACCTTTTTATATGGAAATAACCCCAAATGCCTTGAATTTGTGCCAGGCTGGTGCAGGTTTTGACACTCTTTCGGCCCTTCAGCCAGCTCAGGTGTTCTAGAAATGAGGTAGAAAGTTCTGCTTTAACGTTTGTGTCTGAGGTTCAGGGTAGAGTTTTCAAAGGCACCAAGTCAAGCAGGAACGTAACAGCGTAAGTGGATCATCACTTCAGAAACTGCGTTAGCAGTTTTCAGCTGGTTTCCTTCCAGCTGTTCATTACCCTCTTTCTGCTGGAGGCTGCTGCCCTCATCTGTGTCAGCACATCTGCTTGCTTTGGATAGGAAATGGAATTGAACTAGGCCAGCTGCCTTGGGAGTGTTGACAAAGTCAGGGGGGCAAAGGTGTAGGCCCCAGGAGCAGATGCTGATGAATATAAAGGAAACAGGGGCATCAGCCAGGTTCATGAGGGCTTGGTTGTGCTTTTCCCTCATTCTGTTTTGCCTGGGTTGAATTCGGGTTTTTAAGTGCTCAATTTTTTTCAGTGGAACTAGAGATCATAACTCATGTTCTCCTGATTTTTGTATGAACCTCAATGTGTAACTCATCCACGATTGCTTTCCTCCTTGTGCCCAGCACCAGCTGATGTCCTGTTCTTCTTCCTTTCAGGCAGAGGATTCACAGACAAAGTGGATCGACTAAAACTGGCAGAAATAGTAAAACAAGTGATCGAAGAGCAGACAAACTCCCATGACTCTCAATAGCTGGAGCTTCTTAATCTTATTTTTTTTACCATTTAAGATTTATTCTTTAACTGTAAAAAGTATTTTTATGTAAATTAATAAATCATAATTATTTCATTAAATTTCCATACTGCTTGAAAATGCTGTATAGTTGTAGATAACAAAAAAGAAAATCATTGGTACTGTAATATTTTTTTAAAACTCAGTTCCTTGAGGTATATATGATCACTTACGTACTGTTAATCATGAGCCCTCCTCAGATGGGGCAGATTATATTGTTAAAGACCATTCTTTTCCTTACTAGCCAGTTGCAGAAGCTGCCTTCCACCTGCTATACATACAGCCAGCTGCAATGACTATGTATGTGAATGAGACAGCCACAGTTTCTCAACACCCTGCTCAGTAAGTACTTGAAGCGAGTGCTGCAGAACACAAACCTCATAGCTGCCCTTTGCACCGAAATCCCAAGTCTTTCTGTAGAGGCAACTACATAGCCTTCTGTTTCACTAGCTGACCCTAGAGCTGCGCTCGGCCTTGCCAAGGGCACCTCAGTCCATATGCTTGCTGTATTTCAGTTCTGATCAGTAGCCCTCTTCTTTCTTCTGCCTCATCTTCCTCAGACAGTCTTTAAGGTTTAGTCCACTTCTTCTCCATCTTCCTCAGACCTTTTTTTAAGGCTGAATTGGCCATTCAGCTCAAGACTCCTCTTTTTATCATGCTGTTCAGCAGCAGAACAGAAGAATGTTCTAGTTACTTACGTACAAGTTACTTTTATTTTCACGGAGGGATCTTCTACAAACAAAACCAAGTATGGGGTTCAGTTGCTTCATCCCCAGATCAGACGTTGTCTGTGTTCCACCTGTGTACTCCATTCTTTCCTTTCTAGAAGGTCCAACACTTGATTTCAAACTTGTCTTGTTTGAAAGAGATCATCCTGGCAAGGGTCATAGTGCTGCTGTGTGAATCCACTGGTGATCCTTCTGTGTCACCCTCTGGAGTCTGAGCTCCCTGTCTCTTTGATGCCTTCGAGCTCCTCCTGGGGAGCAATAGATGCAGGGCTGCTCCTTGACACACATCCTTGTGCTGCCTGGACCATCAGGGCAGATTCTTACACCAGTCTGGAACATTGGCTCCAAAAGCTGCTTTTTTAATCTTGATGAAACAAACAAATGAAAAGAATCTGTACATATTTCTAGTTTTCTACCTTCTGATGCTTTTCTTTCCTTTGAGACTGGTCGAAGGCTTTTTATAGAGATATTTTGGTACTAAACTGGTACTAAACCTGTGCAGACATTGAATGAGTTTGGTCTGCAGACTGAAGTGCCAATTCAGGGCTATTAGTAATGACTCTTGAACATTATTGTTATATTTCATAGCTCATCAATTTTGGGTTTACGTTTACAAACCTGAGCCATGAATCTCCCAACTTCCTCTTATGGCAGTCCAGCCTTGCTCTTTGTTGTCTTTTTTCTATACCAGACTTCCTTGCAACCTTTAGCTTGGATGGCAAACCAGTGTCTGACTCTTTCTATGAACTTTTGTAAGCAGTAACTTAGTTTTTCTACATGAAGGAGATCATTCCCTGTTCTTTGTCAGCACCTTGTCAGCTTGCTTTTAATCCTGTTGACAGCTTTCCAATGCCTGATTTATTGCAGAGTAAGAACCACAGTCCCTATGTAACCATCACTTCTCTCTGATGGAAACAGGGAGTTCTTGTGTAAGCCAGAATTGTACCTCTGGTACTACATGGAATATTTGTGCACTGAAATATATCGATGACAACTGTAGAGAATTAACAAGAGACGAGTATTTACCAGTTCTTGGTGGTATCAGCAAGTTTGCAGGCCCTATTATGTGTATTTCTGTCCTAGCTGTAAATTCTAGGTTATGTCAACATCCACACAATCTTCAAAATGCAATAATTTCCTTTTTAACTTGAAATCTGTGGGGTTTTTTTTCTGAGAGATCTTATTCTATTGAAACTTTGAAGTATGGCAAATAGAGAAATGAACAAGGAGATCACCTTTGTTTCAATGGGAGTGCTAAAAATTCCCTACAAAAGCACTTTTCAACTCTTCCCTCCAAGGAGGAAAAGACTCGGGCAGTTTCTTGGGAGCTAGAACTTTTTAGCAGTAAAAATGGATCACGTTGTAGCTACACTCATGGTCCCTGCACAGTCCAGTCAGCAGAGACTAGGGATACAATCCAAGCACCTTGAGTGAGGTGGATGTAACACACCAGGACCTGTTTTGTCTCTGTTGGATTCTTTAGTGTTAAAGGTGCTTGAATGCTGTTGTGTCTGTAGGAGATGGCTTCAGCCTGTTTCTGCAGTACCAGTGTTTGGTACAGCAGGGAGCACACTGGGGTGTCAGAGTGACTGCAGCTCGCTGACATCCAGGTGGAGAAGGTGGGATCTGACTGCATTAGAGGGTCCCTCCTCCTCATGGCCCCTTACACAACAGGATCATTCCAAGCTGCTGATAGTGAGGTGGGTGTGTTTGTGACTGACTGCAAAGGGTTCTGGTGTCTGGAGGGAAGTCAAGTTTCTAAGGGCTTCTGTGATAAGGAACTGCTTTTTAGGGATTTACTATAGAAAGGAACTGCTTTTTAGGGATTTACTATAGATGCTATTGTCTGTGGTGAATAAGAATGGTCTGGTCAAAAACGGAGGTGGGGAGGGACAGATGGAGGAATCACAGTTTGAAGATTCAAGGCCAAATGTTTTTATTTCTATGAGAAAGTGTATTTTGGGTTGGTTTTTTTTGTCTTTAAAAAGTTCTGGTTTACATTTCAAAATTACACACTTTAATGGATTCTTTTACATATTTGAAAGTAGGATTTTACTTTCTCCTTCCTGTGTTTATCCTTGTTATTTTTCAGTTGAGATAAATGCAAGATACCTTGTCCTGATTACATGAGGTTTTACTTGGTGATAAATCTACTGATCCTTTATAGCAGACTGTGAATACTGTAAATATCTCGAGACGGAAGGGTTGTGTGGGATCAAAGAAGACATTCTTTGTGCAAACACTAAAGGGATACGGGAAAGCTGTAGGTTGGGTTGGTTTTGGTTGGTTTTAGCATATAATTTAAGAGAAAAATCTCTGAAATCATTTGACCTTTCCAAAATTTTATGTATATCTGACTTCTCCTGTGACTTGATTTTTTGAAGCTCTATATCTGTATTAAAGAGTTAGAAAACCTTGATTAGGTGAAAGAGTTTTCCATTGGAAATAGCAACATGTCAGAGTTTTGCTGTCACTACTTTAATTTGAAATCCAAGTCTGTCCTCATCTGCCGTGTTGAACTTCTGTGTATTCAGATGTTTTCATTTCTCCTTTTCGGTGTTACCTGTAAGGTGTTAGTTTATTTTGGATCAGTATTATATTGTAAATATTACGCATCGGTGTATATAAATGATTTTACTAAACTTAAAAGTTACTGGCTGCTTTTTTTTGGTTCCCAAGTCCTTTAGTACAGAAGGTGGGGAGGAGAGATGTGGCTTGGAGGGAACAGCACCTTCTAGTTTCCCCATCCTACCTGCCTTACAAATGTGAATAAGCATTTTCCTTTATATTTTGCAGGAGTTGCCATGGGGCTTTGAGATGAGAGAATGACTGACAGGATGAGCTGGATAAAGCCCTAGAAATAGTGTTCTCTGCCTGGCAACATAACATAACCTGAAATTGCCTCTTTTCCACACTGTTTTCCATTAGATGGCAGCAGTACATGCCCAGTGCTAGCAGTGAACCCTGTAAGGTCTGTAGGATTTGTCTTGTAGGCAGTCAGGGTAGGGAGGAATGATTTGTTCTGTGTTCCATGACGTTTCCCATCAAGTAGAACAGCTCCTCCATCCTGCCAAGTATGTTCTTTGGGGCAGGAGCCAGGAACCTGTTTCTTCAGGATGACCATCATTGCAGGGCACTGGGCTTCACCTGAAGGCAACAGAAGCAGGAGCCCTGCAGGGATCTGGGGCAGGAGCAGCAGCTTAAGAGTCACCAGGAGGTGAGAAATGGGTTGGCCTTTGCTCAGGCTGGCAGTGCACTTGGCTGGAGAGTGCTGGGGTTCTCCTCATCTCTTAGGCAGGCAGACTTGTGCCACCAAGCATGGCACTATATGCTTGCTGGCTCTGGAAATACTTTTCTTGTCCTTAAGCATGGTTTGACTTGTTGGCAGCAACCAGACAGTGCCTTGTCACATGGGCATTTTGAAACAAAAGGGGCAGAGAGAAGAGGCAGTGGGACAGCTGTGAGTGCTCACGTGCCCCTTCCTTGGTGGAGTTAAAATCCATCTTTGAGGAGTTAGTAGCGCGTTAAGAGTCAGTGACCCTCAGAGCATCCATAGAATTGGGGAGTCGGAGAGCAATTTCCAAGCATCCTGGGAATATTTAAGGCAGCCAAACCAGCTGCAAGGGCACTGTAGAAGTGGCACAAGAAAGACTCCCTCACCCCCAAAGAATGCTTCTCCCTTTCCAGCAACAAATGTCCCCTCAATAATTAAAACATTCAGTGATGTGTTCAGCTAAGTGAGAAGCACTGCAAGGGTATCTGTCAACAGACACTGAAGGCTCTTGCTGCTGCAGCTGAAGGTCCCCTTAGCAACCAGATCATTGTTTCCCTGGTAATCTCCCATCACTTTCCACTTAATCCCCTTTTAGACAAATTGCTGTAGCAGCACTGGCTTGTCTAGCTCTCAGCAAACGGGGTCAGCACAAGTAGGGTGCAGCAGGCTCTTGGTGATGAGGCAGGGCATATTTAATGTCCTGTTGTTCCTGCCTGTACCAGGGCACAGGTCCCGCCCTCCCCATGGGAACGTTTGTGTTTGAAGTGGAGCTGAGGAAACAATGCCCCCCTGGCCCTTCCATTCCAGCCCCAAGGGCAGCTCTCGGGGGCTTCCCACCCTGTGCCAGGTCTTTCCCTGTGCTGCTTTGCTCTGTTGCAGTTGGATGGTGTTGGATGGCAGGCTGGTTGCCTCCTGGTGTGTCCTACCTCTCTGGTGGACAGCTGAGGAAGAGCTAAGAAAAGACATGTTGGATGAAGGGCTTGAACCTGGCTTCAGGCTGAGTGGGGATAAGAGAACAGACCCTCAGGGAAGGTGGTAAGAAGGGATCTTGGTTGCTGAGTTAAAAGTAGCTTTTTTGGTGTCTCATCATCCATATTTTCTACCCTTTCCTCCAGCCAGGGAAGGAGTGACCATGGCTCCAAGCTGGACACAGCCAAGTTACACCCCACCGGGCAGAGGGGTTCTCCTCCTCTTCCTGCTGCAGGGGCTCTTGCTGCCCTGCGCAGACTGCAACTCCCAGACCACTTGGGACTATGCAGTCTATGAGATAGTCATTCCAAGGAAACTTGCTCCCATTGTGGGGAAAAGCAGCAAGGAGGAAGTGTCCTATGGCATCAACATTCAAGGGATAACTTACACGCTTCGCCTCAGGCAGAAAGACTTGATAGCAAAAGACTTCCCTGTATTTGCCCGTGACTCCCATGGGAAAATGAAGACCAAGCAGCCCCATGTGCCAGTGCACTGCTATTATGATGGCTATGTGGAAGGCATCCTGAACTCCAGGGTGACTCTGACTGTCTGCTCTGGGCTCAGAGGACTGCTGCAGTTTGGAAACTCAAGCTACAGCATTGAGCCCTTGCCAGGTGCCACCAAGGGTCAGCATCTTCTGCTGCGGAGGGATGCGGCGGTTCCTGGAGCCATGTACGTATACGATATGCCCATTGAACGTCAATGGTTTCCACGGCCTAGTAAGGAGGCAGAAGGGCAGCTCCGGGGACACACACGGTATGTGGAGCTCTTTGTCGTGGTGGACAAGGAAGGGTTTGATGCCTTTGGCAGAAGTATCACTAATGTCACATTGGAAGTTATTGAAATACTCAATCTGGTGGATGGGATGTTTAAATCTTTCCACCTTCGTGTTATGGTAACTGCACTAGAGATTTGGGTTGAGAAGAACCCTATCAGTATTACCAAAAGCATAAACAGGGTCCTTTACGACTTCAATCATTGGCGGAAGCAAAGCCTGAAGTACACCACGCATGATGTGGGGTGTCTATTTGCCTCGATGGACTTTGGTCACGGTACAGGTGGGCTGCACGTGAGTGGCAAATCCAACCTGGGCAGTGCTTGTGATAAAACCCGGGCTTCTGCTGTTGTGTCATTTGCCAGACAGCCTTACGTGGAGACTGCTGTCAGCGTTGCTCGTGCGTTAGGGTATGCCCTTGGCATGGCATATGACCACAGCTACTGCACGTGTGGAAACAGCTCTAGATGCATCATGAATGTGAATGGCACAGTGAACTATCAATTCAGCAACTGCAGCAAAAGGCACTATTTTGATTTTATATCATCAGGGCGAGGATTCTGCCTTAATAACATCCCAGAATCGGCAATGACATCTGCACTGAGGCGCTGCAAGAATCATGTCCTGAGGCCTGGGGATATGTGTAAATCAGACCCTTGTTGTGACATTGCCTGTCAGAGAAAGGGAGCCCTTTGCACTTCTGGAAGCTGCTGTAGGAATTGCAAACTTCTTCCAGAAGGAGAAGTGTGCAGGGAAAGTGCTGGACCATGTGACTTGCCTGAGTACTGCAACGGGACATCTGAGCATTGCCCAGAAGATGTGGCCAAGCAAGATGGGACTGTGTGTGCTGAGGATGGGTACTGCTACTCAGGCAAATGCCAGTCTCCCACGTTACAGTGTGTGAGTATCTTTGGTAAGGGAGCAAAGCCTGCTCCACTGTCGTGCTTCCAGGAGGTGAACATGAAAGGGGATCGGTTTGGCAATTGCTTTGGAGATGGGGCAGATGTCAGCTTTCAGAAATGCAAGCTAGAGAATGTCCTGTGTGGGAGGATGCAATGTGTGAACGTGAGACGTCTGCCTCAGCTGGAAGACCACACAACCATCATCCAGACCCCGGTGGGTGATACCTGGTGCTGGGGCACAGACTACCACTTGGGTGTGGACATTCTGGATCCTGGGCTTGTTAAGGATGGCACGCGGTGTGGGAAGAAGAAGATCTGCATTAACCAGACATGTGTGCCTGAGAGGAGGTACTTGAGATCCCGCTGTTCTGCCAAGAAAACCTGCAGAGGAAGAGGTGTCTGCAACACCAACGGGAACTGCCACTGTGACAGTGGCTGGGCACCTCCCTACTGCCAGTACGTTGGATTTGGAGGAAGCATTGACAGCGGGCCTGCACCCGTCACTAAACACGGGCTTTGGAGGTTGCTCTTTGGGATTACTGGGATAACTGTTGCTGTTCTGGTGCTCGCAGCGATTGGCATCGTGCAAGCAAGAAAGTTCGGAGTAACCCAAGCATTACACACATATGTTGGATCCTTTTGGGTTAAAAAATGGGCTTCTGAGGGCAATGTAAATGACCAGGTGGCAGAAGACAACTCAAAACCAGCTGAGACTACTGTGTAGGACTTTATGTGGCAGCAGTGGAAAGCTGGACTCAGCCACCAGCTTCAGACTCCAGTTGCAGTGGACTCATTTAAAATTGATTTAGATGCAAGTGCAGTTATAGGGGACCTGGCTTTTATTCTGTACGATATCAAAATGAAATTGTTTTGCTCGACCTCACTCTGTAGGAGAAGTCATTGAGAAAAGTGTCAGGGGAGCTCAGATTAGAAGTCTGACTGCTGGTTTACACTGACAGACACAGGCTGGGCAAGATAAGCCTGGGGATGGCTAAAGCAGAGCCTTCTGCAGGGCAAGAGTGACAGTTGTCTCCCAGCCCAGGGCATGGGGGCCTGCAGCAGCGAACCCCCCTCTCTATTAAACATGCAGTCCTCAAAGACACCTGCTCTTCCCTCTGAGCAAAGAAACTTCTGGGTTACAGACCCTCTGCTATGGCTCAGGGGAAGGGGTTCAAACTGTCCACACCACTGTATAGGACCTTAACTTCACACCCTATAGTCACCTCCTCCTGAGCTGGAATCCCAGGCAGAGTGCCCACCTTTGAGCCCATCCTGGGCACACCTGAGCTCTTCCTCTGTGGCACTGCTGCCCAGGAGCAAACATGAGCTGCTGAAAACATCAGGAGACAGGAGGAGGGGAGAAAGGGGTCTGAGGCTTGGTTATGAGACAAGAAGGTGGGGAATATATCTGAAAGGAAATAAGGGAAGAAGAGGGGGGGAATCATTACTACTCACATCAGTTTCCTCTATGTGAAGTACAAAGCTGGCAGCATCATCTAGACAGAAGCTTGCAGGAAGGCTTGGAGCAGGTAAAGAAGCTGTCAGCAGCATCCCATCTGTGCCAGGCTGAGCTGACAAAGAAGCCAGGCTGCTGTGGAGGTGTCTGTGGAGGCTGGGAGCAGCAGGAGCAGCACTGGAACAGAACAGGTATAAAAAGCCCAATTAAGACATCATTGCAGCACCTCCCAGCTGAACGCTGGGGAGCAGGAGCGCTTCGTGCTGGAAGAGGTATTTTCCACCTGGTTGATGCTAAATTCAGCCCTGCAGATGTTGCTGCCTGCTGGTGCTCACGGGCAGCTGGTGTTGAGCACGTGTCTATATGAAATGGGGGCGTGTGTGTGTATAAAGAGCTGTGCCTGATGTCTGATGGGCACGTGGGGGTAACTACCAACTTATGCCCTGTGGGTGGTGTTTATAGCAGGCTTCCCCAAAGAAAATGCTAGAACAGCGTGTGGTTTATAGATAACTCAATACTGGAGAGACATTGGGGGAACATGCTCAGAGTATTTGGGTGCTGGGGATGGACCCTTTATCAGGACTGTAGCGATAGATGATGGGTTTAAACTTAAAGAGGGGAGGCTGAGCTGAGCTCTTAGGCAGAAGCTCTTCCCTGTGAGGGTGCTGAGGCGCTGGCACAGGGTGCCCAGAGAAGCTGTGGCTGCCCCATCCCTGGCAGTGCTCAAGGCCAGGTTGGACACAGGGGCTTGGTGCAAACTGCTCCAGTGGAAGGGGTCCCTGCCCGCAGCAGGGGTTGGGGCTGGAGGAGCTTTCAGGTCCCTTCAACGCAAACCATTCCATGGTTCTAGGAGTTTTACTGCTGGGGGTGTCACTGACAAACAGAACTACCTGGAGCCACTGCTTTACAGACTGCTGAAGGAGGTGAGGCAGGGACTGGGGGCCATTTAACTTAATTTGTCAATTTTAAGTTAATTTGCTTCATTATCGCGGTTAACTATCAAATTCGTGACCCACAGACAAGCTTTAGGGATTTCCACTTGTGGAGAAGGAGGAGGAAGGTGGGTGAGGACGTGTGACTCCCACATCCCATTGAGTGACAGGGGAGCAGCTATGAAGACAACCCCACCTCCCTGGCCATGACGGGCACCCCAGACAAGGGGAGCACAGCAGGGACGGGTGCTCTTCATCCCTGTTACCTCACAGGTGCCCCCATGGCCGCCATGCTGCAGACCCCGGCCGCGACATGGCAGCTGGCAGAGGCGGCAGCGCTGGCAGTGCCTTCTCAAAGGGCCCTGAGGGGAATGGCTGCCCCTCGGGGCAGCAGAGTGCCACGTACCTTCACCTGTGCCAGCCCGGAGGGGACAGCCCTGGCCTGGCCGCTGCCTGAGCGCCTCAGGGCATACAGGGTCCAGATGTCCATGCGAGGGTTGGCAGGGCGCTCCCTGAGGTGTCTCGCCGCCATTTTGAAGGCGCTGGCGATGAGGTGGCTCCGGGCACATCATGTCTGCCGGGGGGGAAGCCCTTCTCCTCAGGCTGGCGGTCTGGGCAGTGCTGGTGGCATCTCTCCTCCCTGGGGTGAGTGGCCATCATCCACCAGCGGGCTACGCTGTCTATGAGATCGTCCATCCGAGGAAGCTGGCCCCTAAGGCGGGGGCAGCCGCGGGGGCAGATGTGTCCTACGTGCTGAGGGTGGAGGGCAGGAACCGCATCGTCCACCTCACCCGAAAGAGAGGGCTCCTGGTGAAAAACCTGCCCGTGGTCACGTACAGCCCAGGGGGGAGCAGGGTCATGGAGCAGCCCCACATCCCTGAGGAATGCTTCTACCGGGGCTACGTGGAGGACAGCCCCGGCTCCACCGCCACGCTCAGCGTCTGCTGGGGGCTCAGGGGGCAGCTGGAGCTGGGGAACCGGAGCTACGCCATTGAGCCCGTGCCGGGTTCCCTCAGCTTCCAGCACCTTCTCTATCGGCGAGAGGTGACCCAGAGCAAGCCCTTGATGTGCGGGGTGACGAACGAGGCGATGCGACCGCAGCTGCAGGAGACAGGACCTGAAGTAGCCTTGAGGAAGCACGTTTTGTGTCAGGGACTAAAGCACACCACCTATGTCGAGGTGTTTGTCGTGGTGGATTACTCCCTGTTTTCCTTCCAAGGGAGCAACGAGACCTCCGTGATTCTTCTGGTTACAGATACCATCAATTTAGCTGAAACCTACTTCTATAGCCTGAGGATCCGTATCTGCCTGATCGGGATGGAGATCTGGACACACAGCAACTTCATCAGGCACAGCCTGGATATAGAAGATGTCCTCAGGAGTTTTAACCACTGGGCAAACAGGGATCTCTCTCAGCGGATGGCGTATGATGTTGCGCATCTATTCACTTACATGGACTTCGGGCTCGTTGTTGGGCTGGCGTACGTCGGAACCGTCTGTTTCCCGGGGTACCGCTCCAGTGTGGTCTCACACATACGGAGAGACTTCACTGCCTTCTCGCTTATTTTCGCTCACGAGCTGGGTCACAACCTGGGCATGGAGCATGACAAGGAGAACTGCGCCTGCGGAGCAGCCCCCAAGTGCTACATGACGGGAGGCTCGCTCACCGGTGCCAAGGGCTTCAGCAACTGCAGCACTCAGTACTACCTAGACCTCATGAACAGAGGCCGCGGCCACTGCTTGTGCAACATCCCCGAGCCCCACAGCCTCTTCCACTTGAAACACTGCGGCAACAAGGTGGTGGATGAGGGAGAGCAGTGTGACTGTGGGGGGTTGAAGGACTGCCAAGGCAACCCGTGCTGCCTCCCCAGCTGCAGGCTGCAGCTGGGGGCTGTCTGCTCCGGTGGGCAGTGCTGTCACAACTGCCGTTTCCACGCTGCAGGACACAAGTGCAGGGCGGAGGCGGATGAGTGCGACTTGCCTGAATATTGCAATGGGACTTCGGCCTGGTGCCCGGAGGATTTGTACGTGCATGATGGGACACCCTGCAGCAACAATGGCTACTGCTACCATGGCAAATGTGCCACCCATGACAACCTGTGCAGAAAAGTCTTTGGGAAGCAAGCTCGTGGTGCTCCAGAGAGTTGCTTCCAAAAGCAGAACATGAGAGGGGATCGGTTCGGCAACTGCGGCGGTGATGGCTCCAAAACGGCTTTTGTGGGATGTAAACCCCAAAATGTTCTGTGTGGAAGGCTGCAGTGTGTCAATGTGAAGAAGATACCCGTTCTGCAGAGGTCTAAAGCCATCATTCAGACACCAGGGCCAAACGACTGGTGCTGGGGCACAGCCTACCATGCCAGCATTGATACACCTGATGTCGGAGGAGGGACTGATGGCACCAGATGTGGGCCTAAAAAGATCTGTATTAACAAGACATGCATAGATGCCACGGTCAAGATGAAGTGCGATGGGAAGGTTAAGTGTGGGGGCAAAGGGGTTTGCAACAACCTTGAACAGTGCCATTGCGAAGCTGGCTGGGCTCCTCCAGACTGTCAGTTCCATGGCCTGGGAGGGAGCATGGACAGTGGCCCTCCACCAGCTCTCATGATGACCATGGGGGAGGTTGTCCAAACTAAAGTGTTTAAGGTAGTAATGGGGATCACAGTTCCCCTTACCGTCATTGGGATTGCTGTTGTCATTGCTGTAACCAAATACAGAAAGGCAAAAGCTGCAATTGCAGAAGGAAGTGAGACTTCTGCGGATGAGGAGCAGGGTATAGAAGGAACAGAAGGAGGAGAAGAAAAAGAAGGTGAAGGAGGAGGAGGAGGAGGAGAAGGAAAAGAAAGTGAAGGAGGAGAAGGGGGAAAAGGAGATGAAGCAGGAGAAGAAGAAGGAGGAGGAGGAGGAGGAGAAAAAAGTATGTTTAAAAACCCATGAAAGCAGTGGGAATCCCACCAGCTGAGATCTGGAAAGGACTACAGGTCCTGTGTGTGTGCCCCTGCAGCTGGACTGCTAGTCCTAGGAGATTTTCCACAAAGTGATTTACACAACGTACCTGTGTAAACTGTACAAAAGTTAATTACACCAAACTTCAGTATTTCCTCTTCTTGTATTGCCTACTATGTAAATAAATTAGGGTTGGGCCCCAAATGTGAAGCTGTTAGAAAATAAAGAGTGTAAAAGTTAAGAGAATTGTTTCCAGTGCAGCTAAAGATCTGTTTTATTTGCCATAGAGTGGTGGAACCTTAGTAAATAATTCACTTGAGCAGTTAGAAGAGTATAGATAGACTCACGCAAAGTCCTTCTCACCTGGTTCCTAAGAGATGCTCCACCATAGGCTTATTTTGCTGAGTACTGGAGCTGAGCAGGAGTTGCATGAGAACAGAAGGGAAATGTGCACGGAAGTGAGCACTGGTTTTTTTTATGCTACCTTGCAATTCTTCATTCCTTGCAGTTGGCTATCAGCACGGTACATGTTCTTATATAGTGGATTAAAAGTCAGAGATTGAAAATGCTCACTTTTGCTTTACTGTTAATTTGTAATGGCAAAGACTTAGAGAAGTGCAACATCCTTTGACCACCTCCCCTCGGAGCTGTACCAGATCTCTGAGCTGTTACATACAATTTGCTGCATTTCTAGGGATATTTCCATGAGGAGAAAGTCTGTACTAAAGATTTACCACGTTTAAGGAATGCAGTTACAGTCCATACAAACCTGTAAAATAAATAACTCTCTTCACTGAAGGGTCTGTCTCTGACAGGTCTGCCCAGGCTCCTCCAGCACTACAGCTAACTGCTGCTGGCACAACAGTTCGCAGCAGACAGCCCGATGCCAGGTCTGGCTGATGTTACTAAACCACGATGAGGCTTTCCTAGGATGTAGGGATCCATCAGAGCAGGGTGGATGTGGAGCTCTCTGTGTCTGGCGGGCTAATGGGGAGTGTGCTGGAGTAGGACTTCTTCTGGGAGCGCAGGAGAGGAGTCTGAGTGTCAACATCCCGGCAGGCATTGCGTTTGAGGGAGAGGAAGATGTGCTGTGTCCAGCCATACACGATGCAGTTCAGAAGGCCCTGGGAAGCTGCTGTTAGAGCCTGGGAGAGAGCACAGGGGAGAGCTGCGTTCTCTTGTCAGCCAGCACTGCACAGCACAACACAGCTCCCTACCAGGCTGTCAAATCCAGCACGTTATGGCAAGCCTCTCACTTCCAGCATGCTTTTATCTATGCAGATCCCCATGTGATAGAGGAATCTCATGGTTATTTTAATACTCTTTGCTAAATGCTGCCTCAGGCACAGCAAGGAGCTGGCCAAGTGTTGTGGAGGAACTGCATTTGGAGACTTACAAAAGTCTCCAAATAAAAGAGACTTATGGAAGTCTCCTTTCATGAAAAGAGTGGAAAAACCCCATGATTTCTAGGGATCCTTTCTAGTTCTACTTTCTGTAATTGCCATGGTGCTGTGATTTTGGTTACTGAGACCTTTTCAAGCCTTTGAAAAACATAAAACATCTAATAAAGATCTTTTCAACCAAAAGCATAAATCAGACTTAGGCTCATACAGCAATGCTCTTTGCAGCTGGAAGCATGCTTTGTCCAGCAGAGACAGAAGCAGGCAGACACTAATATCCCTGTGCAAGCAGAGAAGGCAAAACATAGGAGGTTGCAGAGGAACACATTTACCTGTAGAATGAGAAGAGCCATGTAGATTTTGCTGTTTGTTGAAAGAGTCAGCTTCATTATTCCAAGAAGGACAGCTGTAAAAAAGGATGGAAAAGAGGCTATTACTTTAATCCCACCTCTTCCAAGTTCCACTGCCAGGCTCTGTGTCCTAGGGGAATATCATGAGAGTAACTCAGCTCTCTGCTCACCTGGGGTCCAGCAGCAGAAGAAGGCAACAGGATAAAAAACCACTCGTTGTTCCACCATCTTAATCATGGCCCACTGCTGATCCCCGAGGAAGCCTGTGGAGTTCACAAACCTCTTGTACAAGCCTCGGGCTTGACTGAGTATAACCTAAAAAGGAACAAGCACACATCGTTGTTTGTACTTGGTGCAATGTTCTGATCTGCCTTGCTCATCTAGGACAGAGTATCCCATTTCAGCCTATCAAACCTTTTCATGCAACAGTGTGCTGCCTGAGGGAGAGCAGTTGCTTTGTACATGACCTTCCTTGTCTGAACTGGTTTGGGCTCTTGTTGACCCATGCAGTAGGTGATCTGCTGCCATGCTCTGAGCCTTCCTTACCTGCTAAATCCTTTTAGAGATGGGTTGACAGAACACAGGACTTCAGATGGATTTATATGGTGGCATAATGATATTTTCCCTCCCCTACCATGCCTTCCAATAGGGAACCAGCACCATGCAATCCTTCCCCTGACATTGCCTGGCCTCTGGTACCACCCAAAGATGTGAAGATGAAAACTGACTATCTGGATGCAATGGCTAGTGTGCAAGGACTGTGTTTCTTACCAGAATGGCGATGAAGCTGACCAGAAAGGAAATGAGGAAGACCCCAATGCCATAGAAATGCATCGCATGGCAAACAGAGCCACCCAGGGTCTGCGGCTCGTTGGTGGGCACGGCTATTTCTGTGTGCATCAGGAGACATCTGTGGGAGAAAAGGAACAGCCTGAGCTCCTGCCGTGGCTCATAAGCAGCAGGGCTGGTTCAGAGATGTGTGCAGCTTACCCATGCTTCTGGCTGAAGTTCTGGTAGCAATTACTGCTGTTGCCCAGGCAAAAAACAGGTACCATAAGAAGAAAAGGAATCAGGCTAAAGAAAGGACAACAGCACAGTTAGTAGTTACTAGCACTACGCTGTTCCCATCCCCAAGCAAACACTAGCTGCTGCTTCTCCTGTCACTAGAGAGGACTAACTTAAATACTGTATTTATTAACATTCATGCAGGCAATACATTGGTAAATGGAGCACCTCCTTAAAAACATACATACAGTTAATACAGTCCTAACTAACTTGGTTAGAGAAGGACCCCTACATCCAAACCCTCCTACTCTGAGTTTGTTAGGTGACAGCTGTTACTCATGAGCTTTACAGGTTTTACTAAAGCTTGCTTCAAAATAAGCAGGAAGCAGAGATCAGGCCACTGCAGTTTACCAGAACCACATCATTCTGCCCCAGAGACTCACATCTTACCTAGACGAGATCGTTGCTATTCGGCCAATGCAACTCGCATAATCTACAACCTGCAAAATCCAAAGAGCTTTATTAAATGAGTGTTTCTGCACAGCCTCTGGTTCCCAGGACCCAGCTCCCACTTTAGCAGCCAAGGGCTCTCTGAATGCTGATTCATCCCCAGACCAAGTACAAATGTCTGTTTCCACTCTGCACTGAATCAACACCACTGAGTTCAGTCTGTGCTGATTTGCAACAAGAACAACTGAAGCTTCCACCCGCTCACTGCCTTGTTCCCCTTCAAAACTAGAGGATTTGAGAAGGGAACTTGGAACTGGACAAGGAGCAGACACTTGATGAGCTCTCTGGTGTAACTTACTCATTTTTTTTATACAGCTTATTTACTTAACCTAGCCCTGTTCCTCACTAACTCCATGTTCCAGTGGAGAAATAAAGGCGATTTGGAGTGTCCTGGTATGTACTCACCAGGAAATGTATTTTGGCAGCTGGGATCCACACAACAGCTATGACAAAACAATGTGGGCACAGATGTAATGGTGGGAAAATATGGTAGGTGTTGTGTTTTGAATGAGAGTCCAGCAAGAAGGAAACCAGTCCTACAAGTGGACCCAAACCCTATGAACAAGAGCCCTTGAAATACAGACTGATCTGCCCAGCCTGCTACTCCTGAACCAAGCAGAATGCCTGGGATACAGTTTGCTGTGCACAGCGAATGCCTAGGGAAGAGAAAGACTACATAGATAAATGTGGATAATGGGTTGTATGGGAAGAGCTGCACAAGGAATCTCTTATCTTGCAACAACACATGAGGAGCAACACACAGGTTACAGCGATGGTGGTGCCACACTGTTTAGCCAGGTGGGAAGAATGAAACAACCCCAAGGAGAGATGTTGGTCATGAGGTATGTGAAGTGTTTGTTTAGCCTACAATGCAGAGAGTGTTTTTCTGACTATGAGGTCCTTGTCCCTTGGTTCCCAGCGATTACCAGTTCCCCAAAGGGCTTTTGTAAAGGCCAGCGATGACGAAGTGAGGCCTGGCCGCTCTTCACAGGGCCAACTGCTCCTTTTATCACTGGCTCACTTCCATCACACCTCCTACCCCAAACTCTTACAATATCTTACTGATGCTCTCAAACACTGCATGACACCCAGGGAGGACAGAAATTGCCAGCTCTCAGTTCCAGGCAGCCCCTGCTTTCCTGCCCTCTCTGCCATGCCCAACTGGCAGAAGGCAGTGACAGCACCAAGCCGGTTACTCAGCTGCTGCAAACTGCTGTTCTTCTACCTGCAGAACTTCAACAGCCAGTGCTGAGCTTTCTCTCCTCTGAGATGTACACTGCCATTGCCTTTGCTTTAGTCTTGCAAGCCTAACCTTCCACTGAGATACTACAGCAGACTCAGCAGTAACTTTTCTGACCTCAGTGGGCAAGATACATCAATTCATACAGCCATGGGGCAGAAGGGCCTTCTAAGTCCTTACGGTGATATTTACTGTTGCATATGCACCTCCTAAACCCCACCACAACCCCACAGTTAGATCTTGGTACTCAACAGTTGCTGCATGCCAGTCCTACTCACCTGGGGTATCCTGAAAAGGTTCTGATTGTATTTCATCTTTAGGTCCATGTACAGATGCCAGGTGTAGTTGACAGTGTATAGAAAAGAGGCCACGTAGAATATCTGTGAAATACAGACAATATTTCGGTCCTACAATAGTAGTTCCTGTAGCATCACTGATGAACCCAAAGCCCACAGGCCAGAGGCAGGATACTAAACAGCATAATGAACTCCCAAAGGTGAGGGTCCTTGTGCTCATGTCTACTGAGTCACAGTGGGACACCAAGAGAAGGGGTTCCCACCTCAAACTGCACAAGGGCAGTTTGACTTTGGCCTCAAACAGGGGACAGGAGAACTAATGACAACAGGACTGTCTTAAAAATACAAATATGCGTGACTTGGCTCATTTTTGTCCCAAATCCTGGCAATGAAGGGTTCAAAGGCACTTGGGCCCTCCCTATGCTACATCCATTAGGAAACGCAATACAAATGCAGCTC